TTTTCACCCCCCCTTTTTGTTGTCTCAAATGATGAAAAAATGCCTTATTTAGGCCCCAAACACTTGTTTTTGTTTGAGAAATGTTGTTAAAAAAAGTGACCTCTTTTACGGCGCGGCCCCCAACCAAAAGATACATCAGGGGGTTGCCAGAAGGGGATGTGCCCCCTTCTGTTTTGGGGGTTTGAAGGGGGGCGGAGTCCCCCTCATCGCCAAGAAAATTTTGGACTTGTGAGAGGCTGTAAATGACCCCAGATTGATCATAAGGTAACGTGTAACCAACGCTGAAAAGCATTTGACTCTATCTCAATCCATTGAGAAGTTGCAGCACTTTGAAATCAATTTTGATGGAAAAAATCAACGCAAAATAGTGATTTTTGGCAATTTTGAGATGTCCCCTCGTTGCCATGGTAACAGAAAATTTAAGCCTGAGCATGTTGTTGCAAGGGCAATGGTCCAGTCAACATTTGTGCCAAGTTTGATTAGTGTTGAAGCAGTTTTTATAGTATTATAGCAATTTGAACTTGTAGCGGGAGACTTTTCAATGAAAACAGCCATTTTTCACAAAATGCTCATGAAGCAATGGGTTAATGAATAAAATAAAAAAATCTACAAAACAACAATTTTTCTTCAAATTTATATGACAGACCATGTTTAAACATGAAAAAACGCGATTAAGGGTAATTTCAAGTATTTTCATCATTTTCTGTTAACCCATTACTTCATATACACGCCTTTTAACGCCTTTTTCACCCCCCCCCCCTTTTGTTGTCTCAAATGATGAAAAAATGCCTTATTTAGGCCCCAAACACTTGTTTTTGTTTGAGAAATGTTGTTAAAAAAAGTGACCTCTTTTTCGGCGCGGCCCCCCAACCAAAAGATACATCAGGGGGTTGCCAGAAGGGGGATGTGCCCCCTTCTGTTTTGGGGGGTTTGAAGGGGGGCGGAGTCCCCCTCATCGCCAAGAAAGTTTTGGACTTGTGAGAGGCTGTAAATGACCCCAGATTGATCATAAGGTAACGTGTAACCAACGCTGAAAAGCATTTGACTCTGTCTCAATCCATTGAGAAGTTGCAGCACTTTGAAATCAATTTTGATGGAAAAAATCAACGCAAAATAGTGATTTTTGGCAATTTTGAGATGTCCCCTCGTTGCCATGGTAACAGAAAATTTAAGCCTGAGCATGTTGTTGCAAGGGCAATGGTCCAGTCAACATTTGTGCCAAGTTTGATTAGTGTTGAAGCAGTTTTTATAGTATTATAGCAATTTGAACTTGTAGCGGGAGACTTTTCAATGAAAACAGCCATTTTTCACAAAATGCTCATGAAGCAATGGGTTAAACATTTACACAGTATTGACAAATACATTTTTGTCTTGTTTGTTGAAATTTTTATGATTTGGTTTAAACGTTCGTCTGTTAGCCGTCAGTTCCTAAGCCTGTACATGATTTACCTTAACCGACGAGTTTAATACTTTCTTAAGATCAACATGTACCAAAAGCTTCAGCGTCATAGTTTACACTTAATACAAATTCAACGATCTTTGCAAATCACATAACTGTGGCTCCCATCGCCAAGTTATATATCCCTTTCAACACATTGAAAGTAGATATGGGTATGCTACTCGTATTTCGGCAAGTTTGATATTTATTTTACTTGAATTCATTGTATACATTTTAGTACATGATTTCTGTGGCGTCAACATTTTGAAGTGATTTCCCTTTTCATCACAATGAAAATAGGACCTGTTGTTCTCCTATTGCTAAAAGTCTGATATATCTTAGGTTTTATTTGTAACAATTGAGCCATACAATACATATGTAACGTACATGGGATATGACCTTGTCAAGTTACATAACTGCTGTATCAATTTTCCTTTTCAGACTTTTGATTGTTCTACCTATACAAATGACTTCATATTATACACATTTACACACTTATAAAATAAACTATTATCTTGACAAATGACAAAACTGTGGTATCCATTTTATCAACCAGTCTTATTAATACAGTAACAACAAAAAACTTTAAGTCTATTTTTGAAAGTTTGATGCGTCAACACAATTTTTATGATCTTGGTAAGATACAAAAGTTCAGTACATGTATTTAATTTTTTATCTTTTTTACCTATGTGCTCTTTTAAAATAGATATAATATACTAATGAAAGTCAATTTGATGAATTATAAAGTGTATCCTGTAAAGTACAAACTTTTTTTAATTCATAAAAAACAATATGTCCATTATGCCTGTACGAGAGAAATGTTTTGTTATATTAGGAAAAACCGTGCGTTTTTAAAATAAAACACAAAGTAATGACTAGGTTAGAACATTTTCAGCCGTTTATTAATTATTTATGTATATTATTTACAAAGACAGTAACACAAAAAATATACATGTACACACATTACATTGAAATAACAATACATAGAATACGCAGACACTATCATTCTCTTTATATACATGCATGCAATTACTACAATATTTACAATATATACACTTTTCGAAACTGTATTTTTGTACGTCTTATTGCTCTACAACGTCTATAATCTTTTTCCAATTACACATTTCCTTGTCTAAAAGTTTCCGTAAATTGACCCTATTTCTAGAAGGAATTCCTCACAAACAACATCATGAGCGTCATAAATGCCCCATAGGTCCATCACTTAAAATTGCGTCCATGTTTCTGTTAACTTCCCTTCGATAGCGAACGACGCCAGCTTCCGTGACCAATTGTAGATGTATGTTCACTAGCCTTGCCTCTTGCAATAGTAACGTGAGAAGAACATAGAAGGGAATCACGCCTGGACCAGCCTGGCTATTAAGACGTCTATGCCATCATAGAAAATCAACAACGTATATTCAATATAAGCAAACGAAACAAAAACAGTTTACATAAAGATGTGCAAAATAAATTCTCCAATGTCTTAATATTTTATTTTTGCGTCACAATTCAATCATTAGGTTTTTTTTAAAGAATGATTGACGACATTATCTGTATAAAATTAAAATATTATTTTACTTTTTACTAATTACTTATTAACTCGTTTTTCATATTAACAAGATAACAAAAATAGTGCATATTCTCTGTATCGTTGTTGGTACGAACAGTCTCCAATACCTGTATTATAAAATATTTATATTGATATACTGAAATATGATGAACTGCAATTTAGTTGAACTCAAATCAAGTAAATTTCATTCATATTAGGAATAATAAATGATTGATTTGACAACAGCAATTTAATCTTGCTTCCGCCGACGAGACATCATAACGAAAAGAAGCGGCTCCCGAAATTGATTGATCAACGGAATTGTCATGATCAGGCGTTGCTTGGTCTGAAGGAGCGTCACTGCAAATACTACAAGTGAACTGTACGACGCTTGAACGTTTACGTGCCTTGTAATAATTGATTCTACTGATACCTGCAAAATACAAAGTTTTCATCTTATAACAAAATTTAAAAAAATAGTGTTTGAAATTATTTTTTGTCCAATATGATTGTAGTATTTCAAATTAATCGTAACACATTTACTTTGGTAAACCGGCAAACTGTTAATCAGTCTAGTAAATGGACTGTTAATAAAAATAATTTAAAACACTAAGCCGGTTAAAATTTATTAGTACGTATTTACGTCTTACCAATTTAATTTTGTAAATACGTACTAATGAACTTAAACCTATACTAAAGTCATGTTTTTATTGATAATACATGTATTATTCTAATGACCGATACTTTGATTATTTAACGGCACGCGCCGGTGTTTATCCTATCACGTGTCACTGATTAAAAACATACATGTATGACGTTAAACCAGCACACGGGAGATGTATGATGATAACTTATTATATCTTCAACAATGTCATTTACCTATAATTACTGATAGTTTTTTTTTATTTTGATAACTATGGGTGTCAGCTTCCGTAAATTATTACGCAGTCAATAATTACATTTCCGTAAACTATTACACACCATTCAATATTTTATATAGTATAAACGTTCATTGCCAATGTAGCACTATTATGTCTTACAAAACAATAAACTGAAGTTTACAATTCTTTTGTTATTATTAAAAAAAAAAAACAAATAATTGTTACTTAATGCGCTAATGATGAAATTATAAATAAGTACCATAACATTAAACCACGGGACTTTTTTTCGATTTTAGTCCGTAATTAAACAAATGAAAACTGTGATTTGTGTATTAATCACCAAAATTAAATTTTAAAAAAATGTAAATTTTGCAACTGATATTTCAGAGAAAAAAAACCATATAAATTTAAACAAAAACTTTAGATATTATATATATATGTCTTACAATATTTTCAAAATATATTTACGGTTCTTTTAAAGCCCAACATTTAAAACAGGGGTCGAAATGTCTTAGTCAGTAGGGGTCGAAAAGTCATCTTGCAAGGGGTCTAAAGGTCAAGGGGTCTAGATGTCGTCTTAATATCCGAAGGGGTCGAGAAGTAAAGGGGTCTAGATGTCTTACTTGCGCACCATGACGTTTATATAAGCAATATACTATATACGGCTGTTGTGAAATTATGATGTTATTTCGTGTTTACCTCTAAAATTTAATGTTCTTTGTAATGAACTTTTTATCAAGATTGTTGACAGGCTATGTGAACGTATACATGTATAAACGGTTGTTTACAATATAACCCTCGCCTAGCGACTCATAGGGGTTTATATACAAAAAGTTTGGCCAAATAACCTTCGCAAAATTCTTTGTAACTTTAAGTATTTAAGCCACGACCCTGTCTTGCCAATAACTTAACTTAAAAACATCCCTTTTTTCATTTTTCTCTTGTATCACCTTTTACTTTTATTTGTGAGTTGAATATAATTTCAACTCAACCAAATATCAATGACTAGCCAACACACACAAATGGTCACGACTCAGTCAAGATTTTTAACAACTTTTTAACATTTTTCTTTCACAAAACAACAACATACAAATAAACATACATCCCTACGAATAAAAAACCAGAAAAAACACCACCAAAACGATATTATGACTGCAAGGGTGTATATTTTACCATTAGAGAAAAGGTTATTCGCTCTTAATACTCACATATTGCTTGTAGTAAGTACGCACGTGCGAAAAAACTTGTTTACATCACAATATTTTTATCACTAGATACGATATCTTCTAAAAAAATGATATGGGGATTGTTTCCCCGGGATTGGACTTTCTTTTCCGTTATTAATTTTTCAAAAATGAATTGATTTTATTATAAATATAGGGCGGATTTAAATAATCATTATTTTGAGATATACCACTCTGCTTGTTGTATTGTAAGTATTACTTTTCTACTATCATTATTTTTTTCGCTTTTGTTTTCCTTTAACTGCTGGAACCAATAACGATTAGCAATGATTTGTGTAAATATTGTATTTATCTTTATTTATATATACCGTTAGAGGTCCATGTCGCTCTACGTACATATAGAATATCACACTAATATTGAAATAAAACGAATATTCTATTATTCTACACAGGTGTTCGGCACGTTGATTTGTCACTACTCACAACCCCCTCTAATACAAAAACATCAAAAACATCAAACACCACTAAAACGATGAACATTATGTCGGCATATTTTTACCATAAAGCCTTAATTTAGAACCTTAGAGAGGTTATCCGCTCTTTATAGTCACGTGTATATTTATGGTATTAATTGAGAACTTACATATGTAAGTTATAAATGTTTACTTCGCAATATATTATATTAATAGATACGATATCTTTTTCATACGATTATATTTTTTCCCGGATTATACTTTTTTTTTATTTCCTAATAGTATACATATTTTATTTAATAAAAGATAAGGGCATTTTAATTTGGAAATAGCATAGCCTGGCGCGACATCGAGGGTCTTTCTCTACAAAAAAATGATCGAGGTGATAAGGCTAGTATTACAGCAACCGTCGTTATATTAGAATATTTTAATCACGTGGCAAAAAAATAAAATAAAAGAAAAAATATAATAAATCAAAAAATAAAATGGATTTTAGGAAAACGATTATTTGATATATTTTCAGGGACTTATAATTGAAACTCAAAGATTTTACTGAACAGTAAAAGGTTTTTACAGGCTATGCCTCATAGCACCGAAATGACTAATACGTTTACAAACATGTACGTCCAAAATTGTGTCTAAAGTAAAGGTTATATGAGCCGTGTCATGACAAAACCAATATAGTGCGTTTGCGACCAGCATGGATCCAGACCATCCTGCAGTCTGATCAGAATCCATGCTGTTCGCTATCAGTTTCTCTACTTGTTATAGGGTTTGTAAGCGAACAGCATGGATCCTGATCAGACTGCGCGGATGCGAAGGCTGGTCTGGATCCATGCTGGTCGCAAAAACACTATGTTGGTTTTGTCGTGACGCGGCTCATAACCACATTATCTATCTATCTCCCCAATCTGAATATATTTGTAACTTTTCAGTCTTAATTTTGATATAGTCCAGTGACTCTTTTTTTTTGTCTACGGTCAAGTGAATTGTCATAACTCTCTTTTATCTAGAATAACGCACACTTCTTTAAAAAGTTATCTGAGATATTTTACCAATACAGTGCTCATGCAAATTTGAACTCCATAACTACAACAATTTTTCACCAGATTTTAAAATCTTGGTACTAAAGGTTAGGGAATTGATTACTCTTAAAGGAAATAGAGCTGTCATTTCAATGATTTCAAATAATAATAATTATGTTAGTGAGAAACAACAGAGATATGACCGCTGTTTTTTGTAACAATTACAAAATTTAAAGATGGTAATATTAGAGTATATTAGAGTACATTTTTATTTGTAGTAAATTTTCAATCAAATTACCCTATCAAATTATAACGAATCTTTTTTCGATATGTCAAATTCTCAATCGTAGTGATGCAGCAGATTACTTCTCTTTATTTTTGTATGGAGTATGTTTATTGTTCAGGTGAAAATTTCAGACCAATTAATTTACTTAATACAAAAATGAAGGGGAGCAATCTGCTGCATCAGTTACTTCCATTACTATCTATTTCAATCCATAACATTTCAAAGGGTTAAACTCTTCTTTATCAAGGAGTTTGCTGTTTACTTTCTAAATCAATTTTTAGATCCTGTCTTAATTTTTCAGAAACTGAAAGATCAATTTGAAAATTAATTACTGAAGAAACAGAACAAAAGTTTTGTACTACTTTCAAGTCCATTTTGTATTCTTGTTAATATTTAACATGATCTTCCTATTTATATATACCTATCAATAAAATGCTCTTAAACATAAAAAATATATGTCACTGTTTACTTTTCAGAAACAAAGTTCTGAAGATATTAGAGATGGAAGATTCTCAAACAAATCACGACGATCTGAAAGACACACACAAATCTCTTTTATCTGCCTTGGCACAAAGGGCTAATGAATGGACTGTCTTAGATGACCTTAATGATGAAGAGGTAACTATTTTTTGTCCAAAATTTAAACACACATTATAACATTTATATAACTTGAACTAGGAAATTGAGCAAAGTATTTTCAAGTTGTGTTAAAATGTGTTAAAATGATTCTTCTCCTGCATTTTATAACAATTTTACAACTGATTTAAAAGATGATGGTGCATTGCTTTTTCAAGTTAGGGTTAAGAAATTATTGAGCAGTATGTTTATCCAGCTTTATTAATGCTCTTACAGAGTAATACACAGTCTGAATTTGAGGTATTTCAATTACTTTTTTTTGCTTTTTTGCAGAGAAAAGCGCTTTATAGCACAAGTCTCAATGAAATTATTTCTTTTGGCTTTCCGGAGGTTATCCGTAAATTGAAGCTAGAATCGTATGCAAAGTTCTTGGTTACTCTTGAAGAGGAAATCAAGTTTCCATTAATGTTCCGACCGACACCTGCTATGATTTTTAATCTGAATGAAATCAGTTTTCTAGGAACAAAACCGATGAAAGAACATGCTGAGAGAGTGAAATCAAATCTGATACAAGTCGTGACAAAAGAAATAAATAGAAAATATTGTGCAGACACACCACTTATACATCTCTCCGACGGTGAATTCAACGTGCTTCTTTCTCTCCGACCCCTTCTTGATGGTGTCAAATATCCCGATACTGTTTTAACTTTACATTGGAAAGTTATCGAAAGTAAACTTGACACACATTTGGATAAACTAGCAACGGATCACGATCTTGAAATAGAGGATGTACGCTGGATAATACGCCTTGAAATGGATGTCAATTCACCAGAATTCATAAGCATCAAAGCTCTGAAGCTCCGTAAACTAAACGAAAAATATATGATTGAAAGGTTGTCCAAGAAATATGATACGCAAAGCGATGTGCATGATTTAACTGAAACCGAGAAAAAATTTCTTGATAAACTGAATGTTATACGTAGTAATTATCCTCCAGTTGTCGAGTGCCTTCATTGGAAAGTCCGTCACATTTTCCTATGCAAAGCATTTGATGATTTTAAGGCTGGAACCTTAACCGGACATTCACTGGAATTGATGCCTAAGAAGCTAGCATACCTCATGTCAAACGATCGGGTGCCAGACAAAACTAAGGACAAGGCCAGAGAATTCAATAAGATATTGATGTCAAAAAAAATGTTCACATACAAAAGTTGTATGGATAATTACACAACTTAACTCAAAATGAAAATTACATTTAGTAATAGTTATATACGCTATGTAATTTGTAATAGTCATGTTACGATTCATCATTACTGTTATGGTTCTGGGAGTATCAATATTCTTTAATGTACTGTCGTTCAAAATGTTTGGTATACTTAGACAAATCATGACACCATTTTCGTTTTTAAATGATTATCTCAAAATTATTTCTTGATTAAAAATGTTACTAATCCTGACTCAATCAAAGTCTTTATTATTAGATTTCTTAAGCAGTCGTACACAATGGATTAAAGTGAATCGCTTTTAAGCTACGCATTGTACATACAACAGTCTGGCATGAAAATGTTTATCATCAAAAATCGCTTAACACCGTAAAACATGTACATGTATATAAATTAGATAAACGAAAGATACGAAAGAGATACGAACTGAAAACAATTTAACAACTATCCAAATTCTAAATTATTCTAACACTCCGTGCAAAGTTTGTTTTTCAGCTTATATGTTATTCTTTTGCGAACACATTGTTTTTCACCTAGGAATATGTAAGTGTCACGAAATACGAAAATGTTTATCTACCAAAATGAAATCTCTCTAGATGATGTCTTTTTGCGTTGTTATCATGTACTGCAAATTTAATCTTTATATTCAGTCTTAAATTATTACAGTTTGACAAGTGTGCATTTAAAGTTGTGAAGTGCATAAATGGGTATCTAATATCTTTCTACACATACACAAAACATGTTTAGTTAATTTCTTTCTTCACAATTCAGATGTTACAAAAAGCATATCCAAGTTAATAACACCTCGCTGATTAGAAAACAATCATTCGGAACACCACGCCGATGACCAATCACCACCCTTATCCGAAGTTTGACGGAAAGGCATGATTATATCATACCATAGTTAATCTATTTTGAAAATAAATTATTATGGCATTATGCCATTTTATTTTCTCAAGTCAAATTACCATTGAATGATATAGGTAGTTAATATAAACACAGTTTACCCGTTTATCATTATACACTTCATTATCTGATTACTTGTATATGACTAAACGCTTATTAAATACGTTTTCAATGTGCAAATATATAATACATGTAAAGGGAGAGTACCTTGTGAATTGATTTTATTCACATTCATTTGTACTTCGAGAGTGAAAAATAAAACATTTCAATCTTGCTTGTATGTCAGATTGTGATGAAGTATGTGCCTCTAACTAGTATTACTTTAGTGATCTAATATGAGAAACACTAGAATTTTAAAGACACATACTGAACGGTGTCCTTTTATGATTGATCTTAAGTTACAAATTATTATAGTTTAGATCTGTAAAAAGCTATAACAACAACAACAACAACATTTTATTTTGTACATAAAGGCCTCCGGCCCAAAATACATAATATAATCAAAACAGATATGCATATTTAGCTGTGTCTACAATATACGTTGTTATATATGACATGCTTTCCTGTTTATATCAATTATCAACAATTTTCAAAATTTCATGAACAAAAAAGCAATATTCTTTATTTTTTATTCATTTTGAGTTTTAATCAAATTACAAAAATTATGGAATGTATAATCATGACTGTACCATGGAGATATATAACGTTGCCTTTGTTGGGAAAATTTGTTACGAATAAAAAATACATGAAATTCATCTTCGATGAACGAATTGTTATAATTTTGCAAACAGTGATGACAAATTCGCTCATATCTTGGTATACCCAAATGTCGTCCACTTTCTATATATAATTTATGACTAGAACGTCTTGATAATGATCTTTTTACATAAAATGGCATATCAATAGATAAATACTTTTCAGGATTTAACATAGATTTGAAAAATTCATAGATGTTACATCGGAGTGAATTATGAATTTCTTCCATCCAATTTTGTGTTTTACAATCAATAGTCCTTTGTTTAAAATGAAACTACAAATAACTAGATTGATATCCCCAATTTCTTGACTTAGCCGCACAAAACCAAACCCATAAGTATACAATAAGTTTTTTTTACTGAAGTTGCCCAATTTTTCTTTCCAAAATTATCTTGTCTAGTTAACATCAAATAGCAATTTCTAGGATATCTGTGTTCTGGCATACAAAGAAGTTTACACCAATATTTGATAATTTTTACATGACGATCAATACCAGAAGGAATCCTTCCACATTATCCCAGTGCAACATTATCATTAACAGAATAATCACCACCTAGAAAATCTTTACAATATTGTATTTGAACTTGTTCAAGAATTTCGAAGCTTTCACTTCCAAAAATTTCGGCACCATAGGTAAGTATAGCTTTTACCATAGAGTCAAATTATTTGAAATAATCAGAGTGTAAGAACTTTCCAAAATTTCTTTTGATATGATTTAATAGCATATTAAATAGATTTCCTAGCTTGTGCAGCAAGTTTAGATTTTGACTTTGTCCAAGATAATTTAGGTGTAAATAAAAGACCCATATATTTGTACATTGAGGTAACATTTACTGAACTGCCGTTGAAGAACACATTTTCATATGATCTGAGCGGTCCTCCATTTCTAAATACAATAATTTCAGTTTTACTCTCATTTATAGACATACCGGTATTATTATAAAATTCTGAAATTGAATTTGAGACTGAAGTTTGTTCGCAGTATCGGCGCAATTTGCAACATCATCAGCGAAAAGAATGCATATAATATCGGTAATAATTTGATCCGTAATGAATATACCGCGATGTCCCTTATTACGCAGAAAGGGAGATATCTCATTTATATACAGGTTAAACATAATCGTACTTGTTACGTCCCCTTGTCTTGTACCTATGTTACATTTAAAATATTCTGTAGTTTTGGTAGTACTAACTTGTACACATCCACGCAGTTTTAAGTACATGAACACGAAACAAATGACATGAACAGAACACGAAACAAATTCCCCCTAACGCCACATCTGTTTATAGTATTGAATAAATTAAAATGTTTAAGTCCATCAAATGCTTTTTTAAAATCTACATAAAGAACATACAATCGTCCACCGGATTTACTTATATATTTCTGTACCCTACTTTGTAATATAAACATATTATCAATTGTAGAGTAACTAGCTCGAAATACGGCTTGGGATTCATCTATTTTATCAAATTTCTGAGCCAAATTATATAACCTATCATATATAATATTAGAAAATATCTTATACATAACATTGATTAAGGAAATTCCTCTAAAATTAGAAGGGTCATCTTGAGGCCCAGACTTGTACACGGGTACTATTAAACAATCCCTCCAAATGTCTAGGAAAACCTCAGTACTAAATATCCTATTAAACAATTTACAAAGGACAGGTGCGATTAATGACGAAGTAATTTATTAGAATTCTGCTCCGATGCCATCACTTCCCTGCGATTTTCCACATTTCAATTTATTTATGATTTCAATGACTTCACCAGAGGAAATTTCAGAATTTAAATACTGATTTTCCTCATCAGTATTAACTCTAAAGTCCCAATTACTTTCATATATATTAGGCTGGTTACTTTTCAATAATAACTCATGAAAATAATCAAACCAAGGTACCGTATCTATCAATGAAGATTGTTAATTTATATTACCATTTCTAGATTTTAACAGTTCACAAAAGGCTTTGGTGTTTGATCGTGACGTAATTAGTTGATCGCGCTTAGACTTTTGGTAAAGATACTTTTTATAGCACGTTTTTCAAAACGTTTTCGGAGCGCTACAAATTGTTGAAAGTCTTATATGTTATTAGTCCAGCAAAATCGTCGTAGAGCTGCGTATTTAAGCTGCTTAGTTGTTTCACATTCTCGATCCCACCAGGGTTGATTGTTATTTACACTATTTCGCGCTAAATATCTAACGCATATTTGCTGATGGTTTGCTATAAATATTAATGATATGATACATGTTAATACTTAGATCTATGTCATTAAGTACATTCTCTCGTATAGAATTATACTCCGCGGTAAATAAAATTTGTTTTTAAGAAATCCGCCATATACCTTTCATTCCATCTATATTTGTCGATATGTACTTCATTAAAGGTTTCATTTTTCTTATTATATCTAACAAATGGTTGCCCTCGCTCTAAAGTCAATCTTGCACAAATTGGTAAATGATCTGATTCGTGACGCTCTTCAACGTTAAATATATCAGACGAGACAATATGATAATAAACAACACTTGCTCCATTGTAAGTTAAACAAGTAAAATTACCTGCAACATCATTGTACAAACGACCATTTAAAATATGGATACTATGAATACAACATAATTCTACAAGAGACTTCCCAAATAAATTATATCTCTCAATATCTTTGTTATTTTTATAGAAATTTCAAAATAGTCTGAATCATAATCAACTTCTGTATTAAATATTACATCTAAATTATCATGTGGAATATAATCTAACAAATCATTCGTACGTGCATTGAAATCGCCACATAATTATAGATATACATTTGGATACATATTATTTAATATTTCAATATATCTTTGAATGGTTTTAATTCCATTTTTTTTCGGACCTTTTGTCATAAATATTTGAACCTTCAGGAGAAACATAAACAATGTATAAAATAATATCTTGCATGGATCTATACAAAGCACTTTTAATATATAAAACTATACAATCGTTAAGGTCAGTGCATATACGTGAAATAAAATTGTTTGTTATCAGGTGCGATTTAATGTACACTGAAACACCACTACTGTTACGTAAAGAGCCAGAAGATTTTAAACGTATGTTATGTATGTTTCCCTCATTATAAGGTATTCACTAGATTAGGCTTATAACTAGTACCGAAGGCTTCAAATTAGCATATATACTTAACATGCACTATCATATTGCACAACTTTGCACCATAACGTTTATAAGTATATACAATTAAAGACCGGTAATTATGTTGTTCCATAACAATGATAACATTATCGTCGATAATGAAAAAGTTTAAATACCGGGTGTCTCTTTTATTTAATAATGAATTATGAAGGAAAATATGTATAATATGCAAGTGACGCACCAACAGTTTGTGATTAATATATTTAGTTTTATACCTACACTCTTTCAATAAACTTGATATATCTGACGTATGCGAAGTTTACGGTTTATATTGCAACATATTTTATTGATCGATTTTAGATAAATCTCTTTCGTTTTCGCTTACAGGGATTGTTTTAAAATAAAACAAAACTGTTGCTAGAATATCTGATCAGGTTATTCTTTTTTAATACGCACATATTGTTTGTAGTAAGTACGCATGTGCGAAATTACATGTTTATATCGCAATATCTTCATCATCTTCTAAATAAATGATATGGGGATTTTCTCCGGGATTGTACTTTCTTTTTCCTTATTAATTTTTCAAAAATGCATTGATTTTATTATAAATATAGGGGGAATTTAAAGAATCATTATTTTGAGATATACCACCTCTGCTTGTTGTATTGTAAGTATTACTTTTCTACTATCATTTTTTTTCCGCTTTTGCTGGAACCGATAACGATTAGCAATGATTTGTGTAAACATTGTATTTATCTTTATTTATATATAGCATTAGAGGTCCATGTCGATCTACGTACATATAGAATATCA